CCAGGAGAGGGAGGGAGGAAACCAGGAGAGGGAGGGAGGAAACCAGGAGGTAGCTGAACGATCGGATGGGGACGAGCCCCCCTGGAGTACGTACTTGGACAGCGCGGCGTGTTTGTCCATCCTGGCCTTGTAGTCCTCGTTCTCCTGCTGCACCTTCTTCAGACACTCCTCCAGCTTCACATTTGTCTCCACCTGTGACACACACACACACACACGCGCACACACACACACACACACACACACACACACACGCGCACACACACACACACACACACACACACGCGCACACACAGAACGTTTTTTTCATCCAATCATCAGGCTCGGCTCAGGTAGATGAAAATGTTTAAAAGCAGCTAATGCGTCCGACTGACGCACTCGCTCCTCGCTGTGCGATGCTCGCTGTGTGCAGACGCTCCGGCAGTAACACCAGACAAACACAACAACTGTTTCCAAAGCTTCAGTCACAAAGCACCGGAGATTCCCGGGAGGCTGCCGATGCTGCTAGATAAGGAATTCTTAGATCTGCTGAGACGGAAACAGATCTGCACCCACCAGTTTGTCCATCTCCATCAGCTTCTTCTCCTTCTGATGCAGCTGGTTGTTCTTGATCTCCAGCACCACCTTCAGACTCTCCAGCTCCTTCTCCAGGTACACGGTGTGCGAGTCCTTCTGCACAAACAGCACAGACACAGCAGGTGAGCGCAGGAACCCTCGGCGCTTTAAGCAGCATTACAGCAGCACAACAAGCACACATTTCCTGTCCCTTTAGTATGAGTTAGTCACTGCTCTTCCACACCAGCAGGGGGCAGTCATGGTCAGCAGCGGGCTTCACGAGTGCTGCTAGGAGGAGTTCAGAGGGAGATTAAACCATCGTTACCAGATTCTTGTCGGTGAGCATCCTCTTCCTCCTCTCCTCCTCGGCTCGCAGCTTCTCGCTCAGGTCCTCCTTCTCCGCCGTGAGCTCGGAGAGTTTTTCCTGAGGGGGAAACAGAGGCGGCGGCGTTAGAGTTCACGCTGAGCTCAGCAGCAGGTAAACTACAGATTCATCAGGAACACGTCTGCAGACCGAGCTCAGGTTTGTGTTGGCCTCCTGAGCGTCTGAGCCGGCAGCACAGATAGATCCTCGGCTCTCCTCCACACACAAACATCTGGAAGCACCTGGAGGGAAAACGTGTGCGAGCCTCAGCACGAACGCAGCGCTGCAGAGTCACCGATTCAAACGCCCTGACGGCCACGCTCGCCCCGCGCTGAGCAGACGCATCACCTCATTCTCATGTTTATAGTACTCTATTCTGTTCTATTCTATATTGCACAGTATGTTATTCTATTTTTCTTATGTTTTGCTGCTGTAACCAAACTAATTTCCCACGTGTGGGACTGATGAAGGTTCATCTGATGTCACAGAGTCGCGTGATGGAAATGTAAAGATGGCAGTAAAGTGATTCTTACAGAGAGAGAAGCTTCGGTGTCCTGCAGGGATTTTTCCAGAACGTCCAGGTCGGAGCGATGGGTGGTCTTCATCTCTGAGCCGGGAGAAAGAAATCAGAGCGACAAAGAGGACAGAGAGTGTGTGTGTGTGTGTGTGTGTGTGTGTCTGTGTGTGTGTGTGTGTGTGAGTGTGTGTGAGTGTGCG